CCCTGACTTCATTCTTCGACTGGGAAGCAGCTGGGCCAGTCCTGATCTGGATCTCAGCTTTGAACAGTGCTGGCTGTTCGGACACAGCATAAGGGATAGGTGGCAAGGCGGATGATGATGAAGATGATTAGTTCCGGTGGATGGGGTGCTGCAGCGACCACCACACTGAACTGCTAAGGACAAGACAGTGGAGATGGATGTCTTACCTACTGTTTCCTGCCTAAACTGGGTGCCACGTTGGAAAGGTTGTCACTGTATCACCTAGGAGAGGAGCTGGTTAGGGCTGTGCCACACAGAGGAGAGCAATGCACAGGAGTCCTTGGAGCCCCGTACCCTGGCATCTGGTTGCTCCAGTACAGTAGGCACACAAGGTTGTTCATTAAGTGAATTCTGCTAGAATCCAAGTGAAGCAAGAAGGGGCTTTCTAGTGGGCTAGAGGGGCACGAAGGGGACAGACCTATGGAGACTGGAGACAGAAAATGTGGAATCAGATGTGAAGAACAAATGAGCACCACGATTATGACCTAGATATTTGGCTTGCTTTCTTTGCATGTAATTTCAGGAGCTTGTACATTGTGCTGTCCAAAAAAGCTCACTTCTGGTGCAAAAGGACATTGAATTCCTGTGAACAACTCTTGGCATCTTCTTTCACAATGGTTTTTACGGCCTTCACATTTCCACAGGAATCTTTTTTGCATTTAACCACTGTTGGATGACTGTCTAATGTACTCCAGTAGTCAAATGGAATATAGTCTGTTTTTATTTTAAAGAAAAATGTTCATAAAGTCTAAAAATGCTATAGCGTAGGCCTGGGCTCTGAGGCCCCTGCCTCAGCATTTATCATCAGTCTCTGAGAAGCTGGGCAACAAAAAGCCTCACTGGAGGACAGGGCAGGACCCACACTGGAGCTGACTTCCTCGAAGGCTCCAGGGAGGGAGCAAACCAGCAGCCCTTGGATGGAAACACCTTTCAGGCAGCACTGCAGGAGTCTATTTAAACAGGTGACCTTGCAGAGAGAGGCTCCGGGTCCCATTACCAATTGCCTGGCTGAGAGGCAGATTTGTTTTTATGAGCTCTCAAGGCTTACATGGGGGTCAGGCGTAAATATGGAAGAACCTTGCTGAGATCCTGCTCCCTTTCCACAAAATGCAAAGCAAAGAAAATAATGTGAGCTTTTTGAAAATTCCCATCTGGTCATCAGTAAATGACCAGTGGTCATCATTCAATTACAATTTTCAGTTTACTTTATCTAGGGGGATGAAAGAAGGATCAGAGATTTCAGCCGTGTGCTTCCATCAGTGGATAGTGGGAACAGGAGAACAGCTGCTTGTATGTAAAGCAGCAGAAGGGTCAAATATCGCTGTGCCCACTACTGCTGACATCACTAGCTCTTCCCAGGAGAGAGGCAGTGTCGTCATTGGCTGGGCTGGCCCACCGAGCCTACGAATGGGGAGATGGGCCTCTGTTCTTTCTCCTGGAGCACCTACGCGATCAGCAACTGCAGAGACACTGCAATTAAGATTCTTATCCTTTGTTTTTGTTGGCTTTTGGGAAGGGATTTTTTTTTCACAATTTATGAAAACACAATGTAGCCAACAAGTTAAAGTGTGAATGTGAGTTTCAAGCTTTGCATAGTCATTAGGCTAATCATTAGTCACATGTGGTTGACAGGGAGAGCTATAATTTGACACCTGGCAAAAATTAAGATTTCACAGAATTTAGAGCTGGGAAATGAGATGGAAAATATACCCCTTGTTTCCCTAGGAGGTCTCTTGAAGCAACGTTTGCAAAACTTCTTTTCTCCCCTAGAAGGGAACTTCTTGCAATTCAGGGCTGTGGTGTCCTCATCTCTGACTGCCGCCCCCACCCTGCGTAGCTTTGTAAGTGGCGTTCAAAGAATCCAGCTCAGGAGTGAACCCCTGGGAGTGACAAGAAAGTGGTACACAACTCCTTCAACCTGATGCCTAAACAATAAGAGACCGCCAGAACGTTACAGTGTCACTTCTGAAAATATCATTTAAAACACCAGTCATGGGAGAAAGGAGTTTCAGAATGATAGAACTCTTAATTCCTAATTTTTCCACACATGTCCAGATTTTCTTATTTCCACTGGCTATGACCATTTTTGTGCATGTGATGAGATCAAAATATTGAACCCCGAGCTTGTATTTTCTGACCCCTGACCTCTCACAGGTGTTCTGGCTCATTTCCTGAGAGTTATGTTTGATTTGGGAAAGCTTCCCTTGTTGATTCCATTCCCTTGCTGCAGTTTGAAACCAGGAACACCCGCATTCAAGACCCTGACTATCTCCCTGTGCTACCCAAAAAATACTTTTAAATGTTCTCCAGAACTTGGCAAGCATCTGAACAGGGACAGCTTTCTCACACTCTGAGAAATCAAAACATAAAACAACATCAGCTCTTTTCCAACTCTTCAACCTGAGGATAAATTTCAGGGTCATTTTTTTTTCTATTTAACCTAATAGTTTCCCTGTGCACTTAGCACTAAAAGGAAGTCAAATAATCCACTTATATTTTCATTATGTATCAGGAAAACAGAAATGCTTATCTGGGATTCTTTAGGACCAAATATCACCAACCATCTAAAAGTTATTTCAAGATTTTCTCTTCGAAAATAGGAGTAAACATTTTCTTAATAATATCTCCACACTCTCTCAGACTCCAGCAGGAAAGATGAGAAAGCATAACTTTTGGGAGTCAAGTCCTACATTAAATTTTTTAAAATGGGCCTGGAGCCCTTCTTGACCCTACTAATCCTAATTGTTTTTGAAAAAGAAAAAAAGCTTAAAATATCTAATGAATTCTAATACAATGAAGTCTATACACCTTTTAATCAATAAAAGGCCAATTTACAGAACTAACAGAAAGCCGTAACTACAGGATTACAATGACTGTCCACTCTATTAAGTATTATTCACTAAAATAAACAAACCACTAACAACCTTTATAAATCGTTCAAGTAAAAAATACATATTGTGTGCACTAAAAACATTTTCTTTAGTAGCCTCTAGGCTGGCCTATTTGTCACACCTTACAGGTCTAAGCATCACCCCAGACAGCAGCTCTTCTCTTTCAAGTCCAGCGGGTGGGAGGTCATTGCTCTGCTAGACTAGAGGAAAAAAATTTGAATCTCAGCAGAGAAGAATGATCTGGACAAAGAGAGGGTCAGCTATCTCAGGTCCAAGTGACAATCCAAGGGATCAGGATTATTAAAGAAGAAGCAGCTGGAGCAAAGTTCCTGGAAAATCCCCTGACACATACCAACTACATAAATATTATTTCCAATTCTGAAAAAAATTTCACTTATGGTATAGGAAATGCCCAGATAATACAGCCAAAGAAATATCCATAAAATCTGCTTTGATGATTTGTCAAGCCTGGCTCATGATTAGAGTAAAACCAAAGTTTTTTCTTTTGTGTTTCATTTTTCCAAATGTACAATTTAAAAATACACATGCTGTGTCCATTTCTCAACTCTGTTTAAGCAGTTGCCCATTTACCAAGAATTTCTTGAGCAACTACTTTTTGCCCACCATTTTTTGTCAACACTGCATGAATGCATAACTGAGGATGAGGAAGAGACCCTCACCTTCAGAAAGCCTGCACTCTAGCAGAGGGGGACAAACAGTTAACGCACACACAAATGTTTAAACCTGATGAGCTTGGGAGACTAGAACAAAGATAAATAAGGCAATGAGAAAGACTGACAGGAGGCCACTGGAGAAGGGGCAGCCAGAGAAGGCTCTCTGAGGAGATGACAATTGAACTGAGGTATGACAGCTGCAAAGGAGCCAGTCATTCCTGGAAGAGAAGGGATGCTAAATGCACAGGTCCTGAGACAGGAGAGAGCCCAGTGCAGAAGGAGCAGAGAAATCCCATTGCTGGACAACTATGGACACTCTGTTTGAGACGATGAAGATAGTTTTGGAAACGTATCCGATCGGAAGAAACCTCCAGGGTCATCTCAGAGAATAGCCTCAAATTCCAGGTGAGGAGCCAGGTCCCTCCGCAGTTCCCTTCTCACATCGCTGGAGCTCACAGCCCAGACATGGAACGCTGGTCTCCTGTGCTTATGATGAGTATCTTCCCACGTGACCTCTGGTCCCTCTGGGCTGACACATATTAATCACATCACTCCCAACACTGACAGCCTGTGTGTGCAGCACGGACTCATAGCTGCTTACTTGTCCTTCCTGAATGGAGCTCACAAGCATTCTAAGCAGTTCAAACTCAGGAGAGCAGAAAAAGAAAAGTGCCTTTTATCCAATTCAAACTTAGAACAGAAAAAGAAAATCAGGGAATACTATTGACTTTCTATAATTTAAACAGTAAAAGATACAGGAGCACTTAAAAGTCCTTTAAAAATATTTAGCAGTATTGAATGAGATCTTATGAGCTTATTAAATAGGTTGTGTGTTTATTCATTAAGAAATGTATATCCCAAATAGACCTTGATTACCCAAAATGGGTGACACTTAATTTAATTTCACATGGTTTTTGCAATAACAGGGAAGTATGTAATCTATTAGGTACTCAAAAGAGTTTCACTGGAGAAAATATTCAATAACCCTCAAATGGGAAAATTTTATCCTGTAGGAACTTGGCCCAGAGTATGTAAGTTGCATCCAGCTCTATTTATCATCTTGCAAACTTCATCATTACGTCAAAATGAAATCTCAGCTGTGCCCTGACTGCAAGGCAAAAGCAACACAGGCTACTTCAGCCACCTCAACAAGAATGTTCTTAGAGTTTGTTGACTGTCAAACACTTTTTATCACTTTTTGGTCTAGGTTATATTACATTATCAGCCTCAACTTTGTGTTTTGAAAGACATTTATGATTTTTATTCTTGCTTCATAAAAGGAACAAACAGCATTCTAGAATATTCATGATAATCATTGTTTCCAGCTGCGCTAGAATTCTAACATTTCAAGCTTTTATTGAGCTTCATTCCTACTACTGTATGCGTACAGCTCACAAGCAGCCCTCCCACAGAAGGGCATGGCCTGCGGTCGAGGCCAGATCACAGCTAGCTTTCTCAGCTGAAGCGGTCTCCTTCTCACTGCTGTCAGGTTTTCTCACGTCCCTGGAAGACCCTGAGCACGGATCTCAACCGTTTCCCCTGCAACATGTGATTTTTAAGGATACCCCAGCCCTGCTGGGACAGGTACCTGCTCTTTATAGAGGCAGCTAAGGGGCAAACACTCCTGACAGGAGAATTTTGTTTTTACTGGTGGCAGATTGTTTAGAGTTTAGAAATCATTTAAGATAACATAACTATCATAGAAAAATAAACACTGCTAACTTATGGGGGCGGGTGTTAGGGCTTGAACCAAGGGCCCGGTGCATGCCAAGCTCACGTTCTACTACTAAGCTACACCCCAGGTCCTTCTTTCCCTTTTTGAACATAGTGTTGCAGCTAAACTCAGATAGCACTTAAGAGACATTGAAATTAGACACAGAATTAGTTCCAAATATTCCTCCAAATGACTGCTTTAAAATAGTGGGTTATCTGACAAAAGTTTCTGATTATATAACACTTAGATTATATAACACAGCCTCCTTGTTTCTAATTCAAAAGAATACCAAATCAGTTTACAGGATTCTTGTACTTACTTATATTAAATTATAATAACCCCAAATAGGAATCTTAGCTATGGCTTAGGCCAGGTATCTATCTCACAGAGGAACCTGTGATGGGTACTGGCTCTATAAGAAGGTGAGTGAAGTTGCTGAGAATTTAAAAGCATTTGGGACAAAAGCCTGGATGGAGAAGGGGAGGAGGAGCAAAGGAAATGGTCTTCAGGCCAATGCTTATTTCAGAAGTCATTCACTTTCCCATGGCAAAGATAAGAAAGTCATTTAGGAACTGTTTACCTTTCAGCTTAAAAGACAAGTCGGAGGAACCCTATTGACAGGCATGAAGGACTCATTGTTTCTTTTCCCTCTCTTCTGGCTGGTATCAGCCTAGAAAAGGAAGCCTTTGCCATTCAGCCGGAAGAAGAAGTGAGAAGTATCAAAATAGAGCACACCTTTCAAGATTAGGTAAGGGGCATCTCCTAAATCCACTTAATTAGGTGAGGCATAAGAGCCACTCAATCCTTATTTTAAAAATCTAGACAAAACACAAATTAAGGAGAGAATAAACACTTTACAAATGTTCCACAATATGAGTTATAAAATTAGCATGCTCCCCTAGAGAGTGATTTAAAAAAAAAAAGAAGAATTCCACTTCCAAAAATAAATAAGTACATAAATAAATTTGGAAACGTTTCAATATTATAAAGTGATTGGACACTATATAACTTCATTATTTTATTGTGAATTGACTGGATTTTTTTAAGAAAGGACTTTCTCCTTATGAATAAAATTGAAAAATAATTTTAGTCCTCGGTAGCAATAATCTTCTGCACAGATCTTTGGGACTGATTTTTCTTCCATGTCTCAGATCCTCTGATGTGTACTTTATCTCTTCCTCAGCACTACTGGCCCACTAGAAAAATATTAGACTGTTGAGCAGCAGCAAAGCTGACACCGAAGGAGCATGGAGTACTCCTTGGGGATAAGGCAGCTACTACACCCAACCCAAATGAGGGCTTGGGCTTAGGCTAGTGGAAGGGCCACCAAAAAGTGAGGGAGGTAGAGGGCAAGAATTCCTTCTGTACACCTTTCTGAGCTCCCCAAGTTCATATACAACCACTGCTGTCCTATAGAGAAGAACACTGCCAATGTAAAAATCCCAGAAGTGATGTGTTCCATCTCTCCGTGAGGACCAGGTCTAGCATCCCCAAGGCCACTACCTTCCTCCGGAGATTCACACACCCAGAACGTAGACAACATGTTGCGTTCTGAAGGAGTGCACAAAATAGGATTGTTTTCTTTGAGTTTTAGGGTCATACTTTGGTTATATTAATTTCTATATAAATGTGGGGTCTTTTTAAATTTGCCATGGACTCATAGACAATGAGGAAGTAAATTTATAATAAAGCATTTGAGTGGGAGCAAATAGCATTTTACAGCACATATTTATTTATTTAACCTGTGTCCACGGCAGTCCCATGATGTGTACCATGCTGAGCACAACTAACTTGTACCTCTAGCCCTTCCAACTGCATTACTCATTTTGTGAACCTAAAAAAATTTTTGACTCTGCAAATAAAATTTTCACTGATTAGTGCAAGGAAAAAAAACAGTGTAATTAATAGAGTTGCAGGGCTCCCACCACCCAGCACCTTATTGCTTTGGCTCAGTAACTACAAATAATATTTCAATTAAATCAAGCAAATCCCAGAGAATCCCTATGATAACTGGGAAGCTTCAAAAGCAAAGTAGAAGCAACACTCACAATGTACTCTGGGATACTGTAACCATTTCATACCAGCACAAGTTGCCATGGATTGACTGGGCTAGCCAACGAAGTCCCAATAAAAATACACTGTATACAAATGTGGTTCTATTCCTTGTTTGCTTTTCTTCAGATACATTTTGTCCTTGGTTAGAAAAAAGCCATGACAGCAGTCTCGCCCTGGATTTCTATCTATGGTGAGAAGCCAGCCATAACCATGGTCTAACCCTGAACGTGATCCTAATGTTTTATACCATCAGCAAATGATTAACACATGGAAGTAGCCCTCCCGGCTGCTCTGTTGATTTTTTTTAATCCTATCGGCTCTACAGCCTGGGATATCCCCTTCTTAACCTTTTCCCACTGTTCTCTCCTCTAAAAGGATTCTTTTCCTGTTCAAAGAAACAAAAAGAATCTATTGGGGAAAACATTTTTCCTTTCCTGTTCCACCCCACGGTTCTGCTGGCCCCAAAGGCTTCACAACAACCCCTCTCAACCCTCTGAACTAAGTGCTCATTTTAAAGTTCACTGCTGTGTTTCCCTCCTCCCTAGTAAAAGGGGCCATGGATGCTTCCCAGGCTTTGGCTCCTCACTCTCTGCTGGGCTCCCCATAAAGCAGCTTTTCACCAAACCCTGTCCTCAGGTTTCTCTTTTTTAATAAAATTTGTGATGGGCTTATGCCTCTAAATCATTTTTACCCATCAGGGCCATTTGCCTTCTCTCTGGTACGACCAATGCTAGATCCTTTCCCATCTCCTGGTTCTGATCTGTGCCCCTGTGACCCCTCTCACTAGGACGTAATGTGTTATTTCTGGCTATAGATAATATATTCCCATATCACTCTCACAAGCCACAAAAAGAGTTCTTCAAGGCAAGCTTTTTGTTCTTCCACTTCCGCTCACTGCTAACAAACCAGTTCACATAAATGAAACAAAGGAGGACCCAGGTTAATGAGATGTTTAATACTTAAAAAAAAAAAGAAAGAAATACTTGACACAATTTTTTACGAAACTGCCAATAGGGTATTCAGCAATGGTTCCCAAAGGCTGACCCAATGACTAGTCCGGGCTCACTGCAGACGAATCATAAATACTGATAGGCCCCAGCCCTAGAGTTTCTGATTCAGTAGGTCTGGGGTTTGGGAGCCACTGATAGAATGTGTAAATCAATCTCAACAGCTTGAGTAAAAGCCCTGTAAACTCATATATAACCACGCATGGATGCCAAATTTTCAACCCATGTGAGTCTTTAGAATTCACACAGTGATTAATATGTTTTGAAAGAAGTATTAGAAGACTTTTCCTACGCAAGTTAAGTCCTGATGGGAGGACAGATGAAAGCTGGGCTTTTTACTGGCCTATTCACTCCCCAGAAGCCTGTTGACTATATATCTATAAGAAGAGGTGAAGTTGCTTTTTCTGTTCTCACTTTCCCTAGCACCCACTAGAAAAGATGCAGGTCTTGGACGAGTTCTGCTTTTACAAAATCAGTCCTCATGGAATCACTGATTTATTTTGTTTGTACCTGATTTATAGCCCATTTGAAAATGAAACAAAGGAGAAATGACAACGAATGACTTAGGGAAACTACTTAGGGTGAAAGTGACTGAACACCTCGGTAATTCTGCCTTCCTCAAGTACAATGGGCCATTTCCCTCCTTGGGAAAAAACACCAAAGAGATGTAAACTCAAACTATGACTTGCACAGACTTCCTGTGACTTCCACAAATCTCCCAGATTTTTAATGCCGCTTTCTCCATACATGCACAAACCTTCAGAAGGAGATGCAGTAAAATGTCCCCTACCTTGGACCCTGCTTCTTTGCAACTGTCAACCCCTTCCAAGGGACTAGTCTCCTTAGATATCAGCTTTCAAATACCTAACATTATAAATGGGAAATATCTATTTAATCATTTTTATATAGATTAACATGTTGCTACAACAATGTTTTGGAGATATGAAGTTATATAATTACAATCAATTTTATCTGCTTCTCTTTGCTTCTTTAACTGTAGCTCCTGGAAAACTTAAAATTATTCCTGTTAGGTCTTGTATTTCCCTTGTTCTTCACTGTTTAGGTGAAGCCCAGCATTTTGCTTTCCAGCTCAGAGCTTGTTGCATGTGCTCCCTCAGCACACTGGGCCCCATCTCTCCTGGTTCATTCTGCCTGCCTCTTGCCTGGACACACCTAATGGAAAAGTTTTTGCCTCGCTCTAGTCTCTGAGACTCTATCACAGGCTTGAATTGGTTTTGTCCACCATGTTGTCAAGTAATGTATCCTTTTTTATTTCAACCAATTCTTGTTTCCTACTTCTTCCGTGGAATCTTCCATTTTTCCACAAAGACACCTCATCTGCCTACTAGTCACTTTCTAGACATTCTAGCTGGTCACAGAACTGGTTGGGTTAGTATTTCTGGTTGTTAACAAAACACCATTTTTTCAATAATATCCATGGGGCACCTCTTGGAGGCCAGGCACTGTATCCACAGGGATACCTAATAATGTCAGCACACAGCCCTAAAATGATGTGTGGGATGACATCAACTGAAACACACACTAAACCAATGTTCTTCTGCACTCAGACCCAGGAGGAATCTCTGCTTGCAAATACTTTCTGAGGAAGAATTTAAATGCAGTGCTCACATGACGCAAGTATTCTGGCTTGGAAAATTGAAGCTGCTTGACTGCCTATTAAACTTTCACCCTCTCCACACTTAATGTACTCCCTTTGTTTCCCTGACTACCTTAAAAACTGCATTTGTCTTTGTATTTTCATTTCCTTTGCTAACCCAGGACCAAACACCATGCTTTCACAAGTGTGTACGATTGTGTGTTCATCTATGTGTATGTTCATTTATCCCTCATAAAAGTGTGAGTACCATTATTGTTCACACTGAGAGATGAGGGCACTAATGCTCAGGAAGCCAAGTAACTCAATGAGGCCACACAGGCAATGAGTAGAGGAGTCAGAATTTGAACCCAGGCAGATGCATTATAGAGGCAGAGTCATTCACCTCTACACAAATAAACACCAAGGATCACTACGCGGGGAGCTGCTGGGACAACACAGTGCCAGGTGAGAGAAACTACACAGGACAAAAACTCTAAAGGGCAAGTGGAAAAGAGAAAGAATATGAGTGAAATATTACTTATTATTTTATTCGAATCCCAGGAAAACAGGAAGCCAAAATATACCCTTGGATCTTCCTGATCATATAAGTAAATGGGGGCTTTTGTCATTTGTAGAACTGGGTTCCTATTGGGTAGGGTCCACTTTCAATTACACACAAAGTTCTGTTAGTGTATAAACAGGACTGTAAAATTGTGTGATGTGTGTCTCCAGGGAGAATCCGAAAGGACCTTGACTCTACACAACCGCCAAGTGTACAGCAACTTGAATGAATATTAGATGGGGACACTTAGAGCAAGCCAGTGATGTGGCTAGCCTTTCTCACAATAAGCCTACCCCTGGAGCAAAGCTTACATGGAGCGGAATAGCTATTTTCTACACATTTCAAGTGCCTCAGAGCTTGAAATCTCTCCATAAAAGATTTATCAATTATATTTTCAAATCAGGTTTTGCAATGTAGTGTACGTTTCCGTTCAAAATTCTGAGTGGAAACTCATGCCTATCTCGGTTTCCTTTAAAGGCTACCACAGTGACAGCTAGTCCAGTTTTGTTGGTCTTCAGATCCATTTCTCCTTCTTCCCGGGTTCTGCTTTGCCTAACTGTGTGAGGCTGAACTCTTCTAGACAGAGCCTCCTTGTCATCTATAGGTTCAACAAGTGGTAGGTGGGAGCCTGAGGCTGTAGAGAAGGAAGGAAGTGAGGATTTCTGCCCACCGCTCTGTGCCTCAGGCAACGGATCTAGCAAAAGCTGGGTCTGCTCTGCAGTTCTGTTGGCGCTAGACAGATTAAGCCTGGTTCTAGCTTCCACCAGGGTAACTAGAGCCCTGACTCTGGCAAAACCACCTCCTCCCTTTGTCCAGCCAGCCTGGGCTGCTGGTGTTATTGCTAATCTCTGGGTTGCCTCATAGACCTCTGTTGGCTCTGCAGCAGTTCTGTAACTAATTATTTGCATTAAATCTCCATTGTTTCAAATACTCAGAGTGAACATATTCTGCTGGTTGACCTGACTAATACATCTAAGAACAATAATTATAAATAAGTAGAAACTCATAAGACAAAAAGGATGGGGCAGGAAGCAACCATGGACATGTACGGTCAACACCTCTTTGTGAGATTAGAATGAGTGGAGGATGGTTTTAGCAGACAGGGAAAGTTGCACCCTAAATACTAGAAGAGAGGACATTAGTAAAGACCCTCAGGAAGCCTGAGCCTTGGAAACGCCATGGATACTATGGAAGGTGGGAATAGGAGACTAAAAAGAGGAGGCCGCTTCACAATCTGTATGTATTCTCCTCTCTGCACATGTGAGGATTATTCTGTGAAGCTTGAACAAATGCAGCTACAGCCTGGAGGCCACCAGGGACAGCAGCAGGAAGCAGGGTGACAGTGGTCTAGAAATACAGTAACGATGCGCATTTCTCCATTCTCTACCACACACACACTCTAGAGTGAAAGATTCATAACTGGAGAAACAATATCCTCAATTATAGACACTGGAAGGGAAACAAGCGGTGCCTAGCAAAATAAGTCAGATGACTGTGAAAAAACCCACCTTCAACAAGCCCTACCATGTCATTTGTTATTAGTTTGACAATATGAAAAACAGTTGTGAAATGAAACCTGTAGAAGCATTCAGGGAGAAAGGGTAATTAGCAATAGTCTGATAGAGAACTAACAAATGCAAATAGGAGGCAATGATTAACTCCAGGAAAATAAATCAATGGTTCAGCCATGAACAATGTTTGCATAGTAAAAATAATGAAACAGTTGATTACTGATGAATAATGGAACAAATGAAGGCAGGGGGAGTGGGGACAGGGTACAATTATAAATGTCACGAATAACATTTAAAATTGACAAATTAAGAAAGTGTGCTACATTAGCTTCCTAATCTGTTCCAGTCCTCTCTCCTAGCTTCTGGTGGTTGCCAGAAATTCTTAGTGTATGCTGGCTGACAGCTGCATAGTTCCAGTCTCTGCCTTCAGGGTCATGTAGCTGTCTTCCCTTCATGTCTGTCTCAGTCTTCTCTCCTCTTGTAAGGATACAGGGCCTTATTGGATTTAGAAGCCATACTATTTTAGTATAATCCCATCTTCACGAATGAAATCTGCAGAAGCCCCATTTCCAAATGAGGTCACTTTGTGAGTTTCCAGAAAGGACATATATGCGACTCAATACCAGTATAAGCATTAGAAATTTAAAATACGAAAGCAAATTCTAAAAGAAGCACTACAGGACAAAGGCTTGCCTCTGGATTGGGAAGTAGTGGGTGTAAAGGAATGGTGTTTATGAGTACAAGGCTGAAGACAAGTACGCCTGCAGCATACTGACACCCAGGTTCCCTCCTTCAGGCCAGCAGGAAGGATCATACTTCTGCCCCTTCTGGTTGACCAGGTGTGCTCAAATGACTAGTTCTTAAATAGGGTGGAGGAGATGACACTTTTGGTGAAAGCTACAATTGCCAGTATTAAACCACTGAACTTTATACTTCCTACCACAGAGCTGGTGAAAGCATGTATTGAAACAGAGCTTCTGTAAGTCTTGATGACTTCTGTGAGCAAAGTCTCTCACTGCTATGGTCTGAATGTGTTCCCACAAACTCCATATGTTAAAATCTTCATTTACAGTGTGGTGGTGTGAGGAGGCCGAGCCTTTGGAAGGTAATTAGGTCATGAAGTTAGAGTCCTCCTCACTTTATAAGGAATTAGTGCCCTTATAAAGAGACCCCAGAGTGTTGCCTTGTTGCCCTTTCTACCATATAAATACACAGTGAAAAGGTGAATCAAGAAATGGTCCCTCACCAGCAGTAATTCTGCATCTGCCATGATCTTGGACTTTCAGCCTCTATAGCTGTGAGAGATAAAATTCTCTGTTTATAAGCTACCCAGTTTACGGTATTTTGGTATGACAATCTGAAGCAGCTAAGATACCTATTCATATTGGCCATGAGCTGGAGATGAGATTAAAAAAAAAAATCTTGGTATTCTATTGAGATCTGGGGTTTGTTGTTGATGTTGTAGCAACAAAACCTAGCCCCTCTTGATTTATTTTCATACAATGTACATTTACTTTGTGTGTGTGTGGTACCAGGGATTGAACTCGGGACCTTGTGCTTTCAAGGCAGGCGGCAGCACCACTGAGCTAAATACCAGCCCTACAATTACTATTTTGAGAAAAATTAAAATGAATAAGATAAGTTATAAAAATACTTAGTACTAGTGACATTAGCAGGTCACTGTTTAATTACATGGAATTTGAAGGGCACTGGATTCTAAGCTGTTGCAGGCACTAAGTGGCAGGCACTAAGTTGGGGCATGGGATACACAAGGTATCCCATAGATAGAATCTTCATAGATTTTTGAGGGCTATTTTCTTCTCTCTTTAGATGGTACTACTTGAAGTATGGCACGCTGAATTAATCAGAATTAATCTTGTTGTTGTTGCTTTGTTTTTGGTACCGAAGGTCGAACTTGGGCCCTTGCGTATGAGAGACAGGCAGCAGAACCACTGAGCCAAATCACTGGCTGGCGGAATTAATCTCGACATGGCTTATTTCCACAGTATTTATGCGCAGGAATATGACCAAAAAATGAGTTCTTGTAGTCTAGTATTTTTTCTCTTTTTTGAGTTTTATTTGTACCTAATCCTATTCTTTTTTTTTTCTTTTTTTTTCTTTTTTTTTTTTTTTATTGGGGGATAGAACACAAGACCTTGCACTTACCAGGCAGGTATGATTTTTTTTTTTTTTTTTTCTTTTTTTTTCTTTTTTTTTTTTTGTATTGGGGGATAGAACACAAGACCTTGCACTTACCAGGCAGGTATGATGCCACTGAGCTACATCCCCTCCTAATTCTATTCTTTGTGGAATGAAAACTCACAGTCTAAAATTTATTGCCAAATTCTTTATTAAAGCATTTTATTTCACACTGTAAATGATCAGTTGTGCTCCTTGAATTCATTCCCTTTTTAAAATGTAGTCATTGAACCTGGGCCTGGTGGTGGTGGTTGCATGCCAATAATCCCAGCACTCTGTGAGGCCGAGGCCGCAGGATCACAAGTTTGACCCCAACGTGGGCTACTCAGTGAAATCTTAACTCAAACTTTAAAAAGTGGGCAGCGTAGCTCAGTGTGAAGACCCTAAGTTCAATCCCCAGTAAACACAAAGTAGTCATCTGATGTAGAATGTACAAGTGAGGAGATGCCAATACTTCTGTTTGTTCCTGTGCACTACCTGTAACTACTATGTTAATGGTCTAAGTGGTAAATTCTATCCATCTGGGATATTGTACTTCTGTTGCACAGTCAGTTACACATTTTGGGTTTTAGTTTACTTGATGACTGGGGTCTTTATTCAGTATACTTTTTGCTATGCAGGTCAAATACCATCCAGTATCCAGTTTCTCTCTCCTGGAATTCTGGGAGGACTGTATTATCCTTCTCCCTTGAAATTAGCCAAGGGCATATGAGCAATTCCAATCTAACAAATGCCATTTTCATGAAAATATTAATAAAACAAAGAGTATATAAAGGTTCAGTTACATGGAACATCCATTTCAAAATATATGTGATTCAGTGCCAGCCCAGTGAAATGAAACAATTTTGAAGTTCCTTATAATGAGACTTCTAATAGCGCCTCAGATTGTGAGCCTTGGAAGGGCAGAACTAGCCTTCAACCCACACACTAAATACTCACTTTTGTGAGTTTGGTGAATGGATAAATGAAAGATTGGGTGAATGAGTGAATGACCATAATTTTAATATCATATCTTGTTTAAGTTATTTTATTTCTCCTCCATACTCCTTTGAACACTTCACTAATTTAGCAAATCACCCTTAAATGAAAAAAGGAAATTTATTCCTCAGTGAAACTAGCAAAAATATTTTGGCTTTTCACAAAAGGTTAGCACAGAATGTAAAAGGAAAGCCCAGTGAGTTTACATTCTGTCTCTGAAACCTGCAAAAAATAGGGATGCATACATCTTGAATTCAAATATAATTTGCCTTTTTCTTTCTGTTTTGGTTCAGTTACTTAAGGCTATTACAGATGGAATATTTGTGTCCCTCTAAACTTCATATGTGGAAGCCCAGATCCCCAGTGTGACGGTATTTGGAAGTGGACCTTTGAGAGGTGATAGTTTAGATGAAGTCACGAGGGTGGAGCCCATGATGAAATTAGTGGCTTCCCAAGAAAAAGATGAGACTACAGAGTTTCTACCTCTCCCAACTGAGGATGCATTTAAAAGGAGGCTATGTGATAACCAAGAAGGCCCTCACCAAGACCTGAGTTGGTCTCAACCTTGATCTTGCACTTCTTAGCTTCCTAAAACTGAGAAATAAATGTTTGCTATATCAGCTACCCAGCCTGTGGCATTTTGTTATAGCACCTTCAAAGTTGGTTAGACGCCAAATTCCCATCTCCTCTACCTCTATTAGTAATATAATAGTACTTCCACACTACCATCACTTTCTCTTGCTTTCACCAACCAGTCTAATTCTGCAGCCTCTCTAGGTAAAGAACACGTCCATCCAATGACTGGGCTGTCTCACAAACGATTTGCTAACTGAGGCAGTAATGATTTGTTCACCCCATCCCCATTACTGCATAGTACTGCTTGCTATTAGGCTCCAACCTTGATTTTTATAAAATATGAATAAAAAAAACTTTTCATTATACCCTAAACATTTCTAATTTGACAAAATAGGGAATTCAGTAATTCAGACAAAGGATAACATTTTTTTTAAAAAATGCTCTAGATCATATTAACTATCACATGGTATTTTGGTTTATTGTTTGTTTTGTTTTGGTTGGTTGGTGTGCCATTTTTGAAACCTTGGCAATTATATTTAATAAATTGTCCTGATTTATATCTTCCTTTAAAAGCAAATACATTTTCCTAGAAATATGGCATTTTGCATTGGCAAATAGTTATAGAAATAAATTATTTTGGCACCACTTGAGAAGCTTACTTGAAATTTTGGAGTTTCACACCAAAATGCTGGCTATTACACAGCAATTTGTTATAAACAATGTATAATGAAAATCTCCTGTCATATTTCACTACATAAAGTTTTTAGTTTTTACAACATTTTGATAAATCTATCTCATTTACCAGTATAGCTGCAAACCATATCTTATTGGTGTCATGTGAAGTCAATAAAATATTACATACCTTTAGATGACCTCTCTCGAGAAATGCTTTTCACTGTTCACATTTTACCAGTCAAATAATGTTTTCTTTAAAAAGCAAATACAAATGCCATTATAGGGAAAAGCTACCAGCTCAGGACAAGTTCTAGCATTTAGTGTTCTGACAGATCTTAATTTGGATATCAGCCAAAGTCAATAAAACTTGTTCATGCAGAACCTTACCTGGTTTTCACCACATCAAGGGGGTGCATCAGGCAAATTTCTATAAGACCTGAAAGATGATAAAGAAAAGTCCAATAAACACTTATGTAAACATTGATTATTACTTCATTGACCCTAATGATTTCTCAAAGGTGCATATTCAAATAAAGAATTTAAGACTGTGGACCGGGCAGTAAATAGTAGTAAGCCAGTCACAAAGGACAAAAGTGCAATATCATTTTATTTCACTGGGAGTAAGACACATGAATAAGTACTTTCCAGCAAGTGCTCTGGCAAGGACCTGGGGCTAGAGGGGATAGAAAAAAAGAATCAGATAATACCCTAATCAAGTAAGCCAGAATTACTGTATCCCAACCCGGCCCAATAGATCCATATATGTGAAAGGATGAAAGGAAAAAAAAAAAGGAAGGAAATAAAGGAGAGAAGGTCTTTGAAGTTTTCTCTAATGTGACAAATCATAAGCCTTAGATCTAGTATCCATAACATAAAGATCTTACAAAGTAGTTATGAAAATTCAATACATTAATAGCTTGAAACAGAGTGCTCATTGAGTGTCATGCCTTGATCTAAGCAGTGCTTAGATTATTTCTTTTAATCTTTACAAGAACCTTTGCTTACATATGATAGGATGTACTATTCCCATTTTATAGATGAGATAATCAAAGCATGTAAATGGCTTGTCTAAGATGTCACATCTAGAACGTAGTCTTAATTCCCTTGAAGCTATGATCATAAGCATTATGCAGCATGAGAATTTTCACAGCTTTTTGTAAATCAGTTGTAAAGCCCTCTTGCCTGTTGTCTAACTGAGCAGAAAAGAATACTCAGTTGCAAGCCACTGGCATGTGACAGTAGCAGTAGTACCATTCATTTTACTTACTAACAGTTGTAAAAATAATTACAGTAGTAGTTGTAGTAGTATAATAACAACGATCACATTCAATAGTCATTGAACATATGTTACCACTGACATGCAAAGCTACTAGGAAAGATCATTATCATCTTATAGGGAAGTTGACACTGTTCAACTGGTTTTCCCAAAGATCACACAATGGTTTTTTTGTCTGTAGTTTCTTATGCGAACAGTATTTAGCCCATTTTAAAGGTAATTCAATTGGAGTTAGGCTGTGATTTAGATTGCCTTCCCCATTTTATACTTACATACAAATGTCTTACTTTCCACACTATTCAGGTTCAGACAGCTTAAAGGGTCTACACAAGCTGAAGGCCTTCCCTGCTTCTGCAGAAACTTTAGGGAATTTTTTTGGGTTTTTTTGAGACAGGGTTTCACTATGTAGTTGAGACTGACCTGGAACTCACAGTGTAGCCCAGGCTGGTCTCAAACTCACAGAGATCCTCCTGCCTCAGTCTCCCGAGTGCTGGGATTACAGGCATGTGCCACCAAGCCTGGCTCTTTTGGGAATTTTTTTCTATGTATGCAAAGTCATCTGTATTTGCCAAAAATAACTGTCATCTACTATTGTCTGTCCCAAAGTCTTCCCAACTCCCTGACCCAATCAGAGTCCCATTGCATAGAAACATAAAGAGGCACAGGGGAGCAGGGGCCACAGGGTCACAGGACACAGTGGCCAAGCCTTGAGCCCTGCTACAAAGAGAGCATGATGGGTCTCTTCCTTTCAAATGGCAAGGTCCCTTTATGTTTCTCCTTGCTTGAAAATTCAATTCACCTAGAAGTTAAGAAACAGGTGACCAGATTCCTGACCTGGTACCTCCAGAAAATGGTGATTTACCCATGAGGGCATCAGTTCCTTATCCATAAGGACAAGATTAAATGGTTCAGCATAAATGTGAAGTCTAACATTCTGGTTTTTCAGCTGTTGTACTTGAATGTAATTCATGTTTGTATGTGTGTATGAAACATAAGAAAGAGTTCAAACTTAAGCTTTATTATATTAATTAGAAGAGGATAAAGCTATAATCTAAGAAACACAATTTACTATGGAAGCTCAGCTTTTAAAATAGCATTCTTGCGAAACACTACAGAACACTACTGCGACTAAGACTTTCGGAATCAGTGCACCAGAGCAAGTGCACAGTTTCTTGCCTCCCTCTGACATTACAGGAGAAACAAAATACTAAATGCCAGATAGCATTAGTTGGTAGGTCTCTCAAAAAGTTTACCCAAAGAACCAACGATCCAAACAACTTACTGAAATTAATAGCAGAACCTGAGGGGTGGGAAAGTTCCTTGAGTCAGGGAGAAGAGCGTGAGCACGAGGCACAGAGGAAAAGCTGTGCTGAAGGAAAGAGAAAAAAAAGGACTGGAGAGTATGGTAGCCTACAGGTGAACACAGCAACAGGGGCTACTTGAAGTCTATAGGCCATGGTCATGTTCAGGCATTTGCTATGAAGAACCAGTGGAGGATTGTTTTTAAAAATCATTTACCGGATGCTTTTTCTTCTTCCCAATGTAGTCCATGTTCACAGAAGACATTTTCAAAGGGTTTTAGGCAGAAGAGTGATAGTAACCTCTGTTAATGTCCTCTCTCAATCACCTGATCATCTTCCCCTCCAACCTTCTTGCTGCTCACAGTCACATTTATTCTCATGAAAGAACAGAAGCAGAGATGTGCCCTGCCTTTGCCCCTTGGTTACCAGTTTACTAGTAAGAGCAGCATCCTCTCTTCTCACAGCATAGGTGTCCTGGTACTCCACCCACACATCTCTATTTATGAAGCTACCTACTGGATTGTGACTTGGCCAATAGGAAGATGGGACTTAAATAATCAAATGTTGTATAGTTGGTCTAGAATATCCATATGATTATTTATTTACTGTTATTTTAAATCAAAACTAGCAATTTATAGAATGCCATTTAACAACAAAATATATCATAAGGAGAGAAAGCACATATGTCAGAAATGAGCCAGGGGTTTTGATTGTGATGTGTTCACAACGAAATCTGGATTCACTCAGAATCGGAATGGATGCTTGCTGACCTTCACTGGATAGCACAGGGGTGAGAGATTCTGATTATTATTTATGGAGATAACCGTAAAAATTGAATCAGGTGAATAGTGTTACTATAGGCCTAGAAGTGACCTTAAGAACTGAATTGTATCATGTACTTCACTGAAGTTCTATTACCTAGTATGAAGATAGAAATCAAACAATAGGTTAGTGAACACAGTTTAATAATTTCTCCTGTGTTATAAAATTGAAAATCTAACATAAGAAATACTACTCAAAGATGAGGTTCCATTTAATAATCTATCCTAAACTGTCAGTTCAAGACACATTGATCTCAAGACAAATAAGATCTAGAAATTTTGCTCTTGCTAACCTGCCGTAGATGAACACAAAATAAACTGGTTTAATCTTCTCTAGTCCCACCTAATATAAAATTTACTGCCAACCACCAACCATCGAACTCCTTTTCCTGGGGAAAAGAAAAGTTATAACTGATTAGTATTTAAGAAGCAATGTGAAAAGATGTATAAGAATGTAAATAATTACAGATCTAGACCAGTGTTTTTTTAATATACTCTCTTTCTGGATGATTTTAAACTTAAATTTGGTATATGATCTTAAAATCAGGAAATAGACACTTTAGAGATAAAATTTCTTCAAGGCAGGCATGATTGTTTTTAAATGGGCTGGACTATTTGAATCTTCCATTCATTTTTGTGGACAAAAAAGCAGAATTAAAAGTCAAACTACAAGAGGAAAACAGTTTGAAAATCATAAAAACGCGTATCTTCCGAAATGTCATATACTTTATCAGTAAGTTTAAAATATTTTACTGTATTTGTTATTTTCCTCTGAGGCAACTGCGGATTTATCACAATAACAATCAAACAAGTCTTGCTATTATATTTGTTTAAAGTAGGCCAGAGATCAATTTTATAATGCAGGGCATAAAAACTAAAGAAGCCTGAAAGCAGACAGGTATTGGGAATTTAACATATATATGTTTTCAATGTTTCTCCAGATTCATGGCACTTCAATGAAATATGCCTTTTCTCTGATGCAAATGAAACAAGGAATGTGACCCCACTGTCCCTTGAACCGGCAGCTGAGGATATTCTCTGAATGAGTGCTCCCTTCTTTGAACTAGCTCAAGTACGAGTCTTCCTGAGTCAATACTGCTGGCGTACTATCAACTTGTTGTAAACCCTCCTCACCTTTCTGAGGCTCCTGCACTGAAAATTAGCCCCACTCCTCTTCCTCTGAAATAACCTGAACAACATCTCTTTTCCCAAGAAAAATACAAGCACTGACATGCCATGAGTTATCATGACTGACGAAAGAAGAGTTTCAGTGTTCAATTCCTTAAGCTTTTCCTCTTCTCTAGAACACTCTCCTACCAGGGCACAATTCTCAGAACCCTATTTACTTCAGATCACAATTTTGGCAACCATTTTCCCAGAAACCCAGACTGTTAGCTATATCACAGAATCCATTCCTTCTTCTTCCCACCACTTAGAATAAGAAATATATTTCCCAGCTTTCAATGCTGCTGGCATCACCATGTGACTAAGTTTTGGCCAATGGGATGTAAGTTGAAGTGACTTTCAAAGCATCTGGGAAGTCTTTTAAAGGCAGGAAGTTTGCTCTTCTTCTTTCCCCTTCTTTCTGCTGGTGCCATGTGAACAAAGGGGCAGGAGCAGCCATCTTGGACAATAAGGTGTCTTGGGCACAGATGCCACACATACCACCACAACAAGATAGAAGTAATCCCTTGAGATTGTAGCATTTCATTCTGCCTACCTTCAGCCATTCATTTTGGAGAAACTTTTCTTTAAATTTTCTTCTAATATTTCTTTTTTTAAACCACTACCACTTTTTTGACACATGTAGCTGACCTAATTCTATCTGATAACAGGAAATGTGCTCCCACAGTTCCCTGAACTTGGGTCATGACCCTACAAATGCCTGTGTTCCTGTCTAATAGTTTCAAGAGGGCAGACTCCATCTGCTGTGTTCATCTCTGCATCGTTATCACTTTGAACAAAGGCTGGCACTATGTAAGTGGCAATAAATATGTGTTGAACAAGTAAATTAATGCTGGTTAGGGTTTTGTATATG